ATTCTGTTTATGAAACAATTCAGGATGACAAATTAGGAAAAGCACTACTTGCAGGTATTTGTGTTTCTATCACCATGGCTAAGGAAATGTAGGCGTATCTTGCTTTCAATCACAGGTATATTCCTAGCATTTGTAAGAAAAGACAGCAATATCTCAGTATTTATGATGGCTCATTCCTTTATATTCTTGTCAAGGAGATGAGGAGCCAAAATCAGAATGTGTGTGTGTGTGTGTGTGTGTGTGTGTGTGTGTGTGTATGTGTGTGTATCTTTTTGGGATAGCCTCTCCTTGTAGCCCCAGGTGGCCTGGAACTCACTATGTAGACCAGGCTGTCCTTGATTTCACAGAGATCCAACTGCTAGGATTAAAGGCATGTGCCACTGTGCCCAACTAGATAATTCTTGATGTATTATCCATGCTTACCTTGTGAGTGAGGTTGGTAAGGAAAAGGCATCCTAGCCATCTCAGAGAGTGTCAGTTTAGTTAAGCATTATGACCACTGTTAATTCTTTAAGTGCTTATTAAATGTCAAGACATGGACAAAGGACTTTAGAGTCTATTCACTGACTTGTTCCACTATTTGTATAACAACTGAATCCCAAGCATGTTAGAGTCACAAGATAGGATGTCCCCATTCACATTGGCCATAAATTCTCCAGAGAAAAATAGTGAATAAGTAAATAATATTGCTGATATTATCTTACTGAAGTAAATCTTGACATGCCAAGGGAGAGAGAGAGATATTGTTTAGGTCACTCAAGGTTAAGAAGAGAACTTTATGTTGCAAAAGAAAGAACTTACAAAGATCAAAAGCCTTCGTGAATGGAAAGAGGCAAGTGCAAAGCTCAGGGAAGGATTAGCTGATCTCCCCTAGAGGATCAGGGTGAGCTTTGTGGCCAGAACAAGGTGAGGGTATAGGGATGGTAAGAGATGAGATAGAGACCATATCATAGAAGGCTTCGTAATCTGTGATAAAGTGTTCAGATTTTAGAATATTTAATCCACAGAGTAACCTGTTATTATGGTCTGCACTGGTACATGAAAATTGAGATTTGGAAAGCCAGCAAGCATGTCTAAGTTTATAATCTAAGAACTAGCGTGAGTAGATTTGAACCGTGCTCTCACTCTAACTTCTATGTTACTATTAATCGCCTTGTCCTCTATCAACTCGTCTGGTTGCTTTTAAAAATATTCTAAATTCCGTGGACTCTGATAAAATGTTCTCAATATTTTTTAAAAAGACACATTTAAAACTAAGTTTTTATATGCAAAGCCAAGAAGGAGGCTGTGTGTACACTGTGTCATTTAATATCAGATACCCACAACATTTTGATTAAGAGTGATGATTTCTAATGCTTTTGCTAATTTGAGATAACTTGAATGATCTAATAGCAGTCTAAATGGTCACAACTTGCAGTAAAATCCACTCAAAAGACCAGTAGAGAACATTCAGGGTAAGATGAAAAATATTCTACTTTGAAGACTCAAAGTCAAAATTGGGTGCTTTAAATTTTTAGTCAGAGCTAAAATTGCCTACAAATTTTAAATGATGAACAATATCATTAAAAAATTTCATTTTAAATATGTATTTAATTTTTATTTTATGAAATGAGACCTTAGTAGTCTTTTATGCCATATCTCTTCAGTGTATTAATCAGAATATTTTCTTTTTTAAATTTTTTTATTTATTTTTTCAGTTTATTTTTTTATTTAATAACCACGTATTTAGAAGAAGCATTTCATTACAACAACATTGACATATTCAACAACAATTTTCAGAGCTAAGATGCTTCTCTTTCAAAATTGGCTGTAAATTTTTAGGTTTATAGTTGAATTAATACAGTAATACAATATTGTACTCCATATAAACCCTATAAGACATAAAATTAAATGAGGCTTTAAACTTTAAAAAAGATCTCCATTTCATTATTAAAATACACAGTTTCATACAGAAAAATTCATTTTTAATGCAATTGACATTAAGATGCTTGCAGGTGCGTTTCTAATCTCTACATGTCTGATTATTACTAGTGACAGTCGGCTACTTTCTGAGCTCCTTGGCATCTAAGCATGGATATAAAGTCATCAGGTAGATTTCAGTGGTAATGTTTTTCACATCTACTTGTTATTAAGGTGCAGATTTTTATGCTTTGAAGAATTTCTTTTTATAGACCCACTTCCCAGATAGCACCCTCCCATAGCCTCCCTCCCCCAACTAGAGCCCTTATACTTTGATATCCCTGCTACTGTCTGCTGTGTTGTCGGCACCCCCAGCCAGTCCCCAATATTTGTCCTTCTGGTGAATCTAGTCAGCCTATGTATAGGTCTTTGTTTTAGGAGGGTCCAAAGGAATATTGACAACTGAATACTGGCAGATGAGGAACAGAATATTTTCTTTTGACTTTCAAATTAATGTCTAAAATAGAAACCGTATTTTGAAAAAATACATTCTAAAGAAGAAATATATTTAAGCTAAATAATAGCTATGGCTTACCTAGGTAGTTTTATTTCTAAATGAAAGTAGAACAGTAATTAAAAGATGTTAAATAGATGTTGCTTATTTTGGGGGGGGGCCAGGAAAGTATTATTAGAGCCATTGTTCAAATGCTGTCATGTCCCATTGTAATTCACACTTAACGAATAATAAGCATTTATTTGAAAATTGTGACAATGTACTGAATCAGTTCCTGCGTTGGCTCTTCTCTCTTAGAACAAATGTTACTATAATTACTTTCCAACATAAGTATCCTTTTAGGGAGGAGGGTATCAAAGCCATATCATATGTAATTTGAAGAAAATGGATAAATTGGTGAGTTCCAGGATTACAACAATAGCTGTTTAAATTCTAGGTCAGTAAGATTGATCTTACTTTAATCCCATTTTTCCCCTATAGAACAGTAATTTGATAGGCAGAAATTTACAAAGACCTAGAATTCTGCCATTCATCAGAGGGACATTTGTGTGTTTCTTTGTTTGTTTATTTTTTACATTAACAAACAAATATATAAATCTTTTTTGCATTTTAAAAAATTTTATTGAATTTTTGTTGCTTTCATACAATACATCTTGATCATATTTAGACCCCCTCCCCTATCTGCACCCTCCCATAGTCCCTCCACTGAATTTGATGGATTCTGTCATATATGTTAAGGCCTATCAAGTTGTTTGTGTCCCCACATGTCTCTCCATGTGAATCCATTCACTGGAGCCTGGTCAACCTCGCTACTGTCACTCCCTTAATGAAGACCAACTTTCCCTCACCCAGCAGTGATCAGTTGCTGGTAGTTACTCAGCTAAGGTTGGGGCTTCCTATCCATTCCCCACATCTGTGCTGGGTTTTTGCCTAGTTTGAGTTTGCATGGATCTTGTGTATGCTGTCGCCATTACTGAAAGTTCATATGAGCGAGTTCCTAGCCACCTGGAAAACTGTTTCCTTGTGGTCATCCACCATTCCTACCGGGTACAGTCTTCCCCTCTTCTGTGTGGTCCCTGAGCCCTGAGTGGCAAAGGTTTAATATAGGAGTCTTATCTGGGGAATGGATAGTGATGAACACAGTCACAACTGGCCAAAATGTAGAGAATAAGAGACTTTTATTTTTTGAGACAGTTTCAACATTTGCTCAGGCTGACAGTGAATCTACCTTCCTCTTGCCTCAGCCTACCAAGTGTTAGTATTAGAAACGTGTGCCACCATGTCAGCACGAACCTCTTCTCTTTGATTCAGTTGCTTGTTTGTAAAACTCAATGGTGTATACTTAGTTAACATTTTAGGATGTGGTCCTTATCTCATTCATTTTTGTGTCTTAAGTATACAAGCAAGACACTTACATATACTAATACAGTATATGAGTGAACAATTGGAAAATGGATGAAACAATGTAATTTACTTTCAAATTAAAAGTAGAATATGGAAGTTTATGTTGGGTCATTTTAGCCTTAATGGTAGAATATTGTATAGAAATACCGTTTAGTTTCTTCAGCTCATATCAGCCTTGTTAATCAGTAATATTTTAGACTGTCTCAACCTTTTCTTCAGATTATGCAGATTTTAACTGGTACATGACAAAATAGTCATAAAGTTCTCCCAAGCTATCTGCAAGCTGTGAATTATTGCTCATAAATGAATAGTAATATCTAAGGACTGTAAAACCATCCCTTATGCTGAGAATTGCCTGTTTTCCTAGCTACCTACATTGGTGTCTCTCTTCTATAAACGGATTGTCTCTAGCAGAGTGTCTGGTATATGATATGCATTGCCTTTCATTCTTTTGGATTGCTGTTGTTTTTATGTCAGTAATTTTTGCCTTTAAGCTATAAACTCCTGAAAGGCCACAAATTGTCCAAAATTTTTATAACCTCAAAAACTCCTAACATAGTTACTCTGAATTGAGAATAACTATTCTTCTGAAGATATTTTTTAACTTTCAAGGTAGAATACTACATTATATAGCATTTGAAGATACGAAAAGGAACAGTCAAAATTACCCCCAAAAGGACACTAAAATTCTAAATAAATGTTCATGATGATTAGGGACACTAACCATTAAATCCAAATGACTATAGACATGCACAGTACCAGCATTATGAATCGCAGGCTTTTGGAGGTCCTACGAACAGTAGCTGTGGCACAGATATTCCTTGCAATATTACAGCATCCTTTGGAAAGTAAAGTTTAGGGTTTTCACTATTTACCAAATTGAACTATTGAAGCTATGTAAAATATTAGGAATATTAATTATTCAAGACTTTTTATTACTTTTGTTAGCTGTAAAGCATTTTTGTTTTTAAAAATAACCTTGTTTCATGAGGCCATGATTCATTCCTGACAGATACATACACAGGTCTCTAAATGAAAAGCAATGACATATTTACTAGCTGTGTAATCAGCCCCACTATCTATAGCTGAAAATAAATGATTCTTCAACTACTTCCACATTATTCACTTGGAATTACAAATCTTTCTCTTAGTGAATGAACTTCTCTTCATATTTTCTCGGCAGGAAGAAGCACTGCATGGGTTTCGAGTGAGCGACTATTTTGAATACATGGAAAATTTGGAGCAAAGCTACCGGCCAGTGCTGATGCGGGACATGCACAACATTAGAGTACAGAGCACATAGATCATGAGAGGCATGCTTTAATTTTATGTTTCATTCATTTTTAAAGGAAGCAAGGCGACTTGGTTGTTTTCTGTCTGCATCTATAACAGAGAAGGCTCTGAGCATGTGTATTGTAAATCAGTGCTGAGAACTTTTGAATAGAATATATTCATGTTGATATTTGCTCAATTTGTGACATGAAGTAAACTCATTTAAGTAAGTCCTTGTTTCTTAAAGTTTTAAGATCAGACCTAGGTTATAGTATTTATGTTAGACTTAATTAAAAATGGATGGAAAAACCTTAATATAAGACCTGAAAATTTGAAACTACTTGGAAAACACTTCAAGATCTGGACATAAGCAGTAGCTTTCTGAATAAGATTCAGATAGCTCAGGAAATAAAAGCAGGCATGGAAAAATGGTACTACATTTTAAGAAAAGAAAAGAAATGAAAGACTACAGAATGGGAAAAAATTGTCAAGTGTTGGTCTAATGGGGGCTAATATGTAAAACTCAAAAAATTACAAAATAATGAAAAATTCAGTCAACAAATGGGCAGGGGAAATGAACAGACACATCAAAGGATAAAGTACAAATAGAGAACAAGTACGTGCACAAGGCTCCCCACCTTTATGCATCAGGAAAATTCCCATTAGAACTACACTGAGGTCCCACTTCACCCTGTCAAAGTGGCTGTAATTAAGAAAACAGTGCCAGCTAGGGTTGGGATGGGGGCTTCTAAATAGCCAGTGGGAATGTAAATTATTCTAGACACTATTGAATCTAGTATGGAGACTCTTCAGAAAATCAAAGCTAGAACTTCCATATGACCTAGCTTTACAACTTCAAGATATATACTAAAAACAGTAAAAGTCAGCATACTATAGAAACCGCTTGCATACCCATGGCACTGTTCACAATAGCCAGACTATGAAGCAGCCTAGGCACTCATGAATAGATGGATAAGGAAAATGTGACATATGTAAACAGGATTTTACCCAGCCCTCAAGACTGATGTTATATCATTTGTAAGAAAATGGGACTGGAGAACATGTTGAATGATAGAAACCAGTCCCATAGAGATGAATATCACATGCTTTATCTCATATGTAGAAGCTGGGGGTAGAGCATGAAACTAAAAGGATGAGGGACATGGAAGGTACAGGAGGGATAAGAAAGTGATGGGGGATGACCAACCAGTGAGATGACTCAACAGGTAAAGGCAGTTGCTGTTAAGCCTGATGACCTGAGTTCCCTGGAATCCACATGTGGAAGGAGAGAACTGACTCCCAGAAGTTGTCCTCTGACCCCCACATGCACAACATGACACATGACCACCCCCTAAAAATAAATAAATTTAAAGTATTTTAAAATATTTCAAAATAAAGTAACAAGAGAGGAATATGATCAGAGTATATTATATTCATGTTGGCAATGCCATAATGAAACCTCATTATACAACAAATGTATACTAATAAAAGTTTTAAGTGTCCTGACCTGCATCACCTTCTCTATTGTATTATGAGAATATCTTTCTTCTAATGAGTTTGAGAAGAAGCAATATTGTTAAAAAAGAAAAGCTGACTAGCCCGAAAGAGCCCATAGAGATAAGAAATAAAAGCAGTTGTCTTCGTGCTTTCTGACTTTACATACGGAAGAAAACAGAACAGAGCACACTTGCTCATTTTACTTGTGGAGGAGCAAATGATTCTTATCATGACAAGTGGCAGGAGAGCTGCTGTCCTCAGACATAATTGTTTTCTAGGAGATGCTTTGGGTACCTATATCAATTTGTAAGTTTTCAGAAATACAGTGTTTACATGGTTCATTTAAAAGATAGATTGGTTCTCTCGTGCTGATAAGCATTCTGCGACTATTTCTTGTGCATTTCTTGTTGATAGATTTGATTGGTACTGAACTTGAAAACATTAAGAAGAATAGGTTTCTAAATTATTTTAAATGACTAACGCTATGTTTTATTCAAATACAAGTCTCTGATTCCATAAGATTAATGTATATGTGAAGGTCTATTTTCCTGTAAATGTCATATTTACTAGACAGAAAACAATACTCATATATGTTAAATTATTAATTTACAATTTCAACTTTTTAATCATAGAGGTCATTTTGATTCTTTGCTTATAAGTTAATGCTACAGTCATTTGAAAATTAATGCTACTTTTTTTTGTCAAAACTATGCCACCTACAAACTCACTTTTCCTTTCAGCATGTGAGACAATTGTTGCTATGCAGCATTCGGTTTTGTGATATTTAGGCATTTGCAGTATACATCTTCAAAAATCAGGTTTTGTACCATAAATGCCAGGAATGCTGTTTTAAAGGGCATTGCAAAGCTGAGAAAGGTAGATTGAGCAAGTTAATATGGCATATTGCACACTTTAGTGCCAGCTGATGTGTACGAGAGTACTAAAAATGATCCGAAATACTGTTCTTTGTCTCTTTTCAAACTTCATTTTGAAAAGTTCCTCCATGAAACTGCAATCATGTTTCTGATTCTTCCTTCCCTTTCCATTGCTGAGTTAGCTCTTAGTGCTATGAAATCAACGGCTTTCTTTCATACAAAAGCTCTTACATTGGAGCTAGAAATGATTTTGCATCATTGGTGGTTTTTATTGAAAACTCAGATCAGATCTAGGTTTTAACTATTACAGTTTGCAAAAAGTGATGCCATCTGGAGACAGGTGCCCTTGACTTGCAGTTGATAGTTTAGAAACAGAACTCGAAATGGTGATTCATACCTATAATCCCAGTACTCAAGAGGCAGAGGAACTCAAGTTTTCAGACCAGGCTGGTCTACAAGGTGAACTTTAGGCTAGCCAGGGCTACATAGTGAAACCCTGTTTCCCAAAAGAGATGAATAAATAAAAATGAGGATTGGTCAGATGGTCAAGCCTGATGACCTGAGTTTCATCCCCAGGACCCACATGGTAGAAGGAAAGAACGAACTCCCACAAGTTGTCCTCTGACCTCCATACCTGTCCCAAACTCCACTCAAAAACCCTCCACCACCCCACCAAAATCCCACAAATGTAATTGTAGTTTTAAATAAATAAATAATAAAAATCAAGAAATAAAAAATCCAAAATTAAAAATAAATAAATGTCCTATGAAGAATGACTTAGCATTTGTTTCATGGAAGAAAACAAAATATGTTAGTTTATGTGGCTACCCTTGTGAGTCAATTTTGTACTTATTTTATGAGTACCCTTAAAGAATATTGTCTTAACTCTGTTTTTTTAAGTATGAAATCTTATGACAGACTTTGTATCTGATTTGTAATTTGATAGTTCATACATTTTATAGTCTTCAATTATAAGCAATACTATATGATATAAATTATTGTGAAATTTTTATTCATATGCAAATCCTTGGCTGTGTGCTTTCAGATTTCCTATTTAGGGGTTAGCAGTATAGTTGCTCGGTGGTAGATTGCTTGCCCAAAATGTACGAGGCTGTGGACACCACCTCCAGCACCGAAAAAAAATAATTAAGATTCATAGTTAGAAGTCTTACAGGTTTTAGATGTCTAAAGTATCTCTCAAGGTGTTACACAGTAAATCTCAGGAAATTATTAAACTTCACTAAAGTAGTCTACCTATATTTTGCTTAGTCAATAATACTATGTACTTGTTTCAATTTCTCCTTCCTAGATATTGAAGAAATTTGCTTATCATTTATTTAAATAGGCAATTTAAACAGTACACATGAAAATATATGATACTCAAAATTGTAAGAGGTTATGATCATGAGATGAATACTTTTTCAACCATGGAAAAAAGATAATAAAAGTTACCCACTAGACTTGGTAACCTTGATAAGAGCAGGTTTGAGGAAGTAATAGAGAAAAACTTGATTGGATTGTGTTTAATAGAATAGATTTTGAAACTCCCCTTTCCAGGAGTGTTGTTTTAAAGGAAAGGAAAGCAGGGGTAGTAGTTAATACAATACAGGCTCAAGTTGTTGTTGTTGTGTTGTTTTATTTTTAAGACAGGAAGAGAAGCTTCTTTATGCTGGGGTGAGGATTATGCAGTAGCCAAGAGAAAGTCATGCTTTAGACTGTGATGAACTCAGGAGAGTGCAATGGGATTTCATGCATGATAGAACTAGCCTTTACCGAGATCCTGGGTGTTTCATTCAGAGTAATGTAAGAAGAGACAGAGCAAATGGACATAGGTGCAGAGTTTGTGTTTGAAGGAGCAGTTGCTTTCACAGCAGCACAGGAAAGTCATAGGAGTTGGTGTGGAAAGTACTTTGACAAATTTATTTATATTTTAGGAAATGAGCACATGTGATATAGGTGTTAAGGATAGTGAGTCAGTGACTATTTTTAAAGAAACTTTGAATTGTATCCTTAAAAGGAGTTAAAGTTCAGGGTATAAATTTCACCCTAATGAAGTTGACCTTATCAAAATTGAAAAATACTATAAAGAGAATTAGAAAAATGCGTCATATGAAAGAATTTCAACATTAGCACCTACTTTAGTTGAGGGTTTCCTACAGATCCATATCAGGTTGAGGAGCATTCCTCTAATTCTGTCAGTTTTTATCAGGAATAGTTTTGAATTGGGAAGAGATTTCATCAGTTGCTTCTTATGAAAATATTTCTAAGATGCTCTCTTTTTTAATTCCTCAGTGTGTCAAACTTCCATTAGTTTTTTTTCAGATTCCACCTCCTGAAGGTGGTAAGTTTTATTGGTATTCAGTTTTCAGTTCCTTTGCTTCTATTTTCACAAATTTGGCACCACCTACATACATAGTTCTCATTCACCTTTACCCTCAAAGGAGCACGCTACACATGCTTTAATAGTGTAATTTCTCTACTTATTGAACAACACACCCTGGAAATCACTATACTTAAGTCCAAAACAATTTTCTTCCTATTTCTGTAGAAGCGATATAGTAATGCATTTTGTGACAGCCAACTATTAATCTCCTATATATAGGTAATGTCTTCAAGTTGTATTTTTTAAATTATTTATTTAATAACCACATACTTAGAAGAAGCATTTCAGTACAACAGCATTGACATATTCAATAACACACTCCAGAGCAAGAGTACATATTTTCACAAGTGGGTGCAAGTTTCTAGGTTCACAGTTGAGTTAATACAGTTATACAATATTGTACTCAGTATAAACCCTATAAGACATAAAATTAAATATGGTTTTAACCTTTAAAAAAGATTTCCATTTCATTGTTAAAATACACAGTTTCATATAGAAAAATTATTTTTAATGCAAGTGACATTAAGATGTTTGCACATGTGTTTCTAATCTCTATATATCTGATTATTACTAGTCACAGTCGGTTACTTTCTGAGCTCCTCGGCATCGGAGCATGGATATAAAGTCATCAGGTAGATTTCAATGGTAATGTTTTTCACATATACTAATTATTAAGCAAATTTTCATGCTTTGAAGAATTATTTTTTAATCTTTTTAAAAAAATTTTTAATAACTACATTATTAGAAGAAGCATTTCACCACAACTTTAACATATTCAATAACACACTCCAGAGCAAGAGTACATATTTTCACAAGTGGGTGCAAGTTTCTAGGTTCACAGTTGAGTTAATACAGTTATACAATATTAAACTCAGTATAAGCCCTGTAAGACATAAAATTGAATGAGTTTTTTAACCTTTAAAAAGGATCTCCATTTCATTTTAGAATACATTGTTCCTTGCAGAAAGACTCATTGTTTTTGCTACTACCACTGAGATGTTGGCACATTCATCTCTACTCTATTGGGGCTGCTTGGTATAGCAGCACCTTGGGCCTGTGAGTTCTGAGACACTTCCGCAGCCTGACCTAGAGTCGGCCCACCTGTTTGGTCACTTTCGATCTTTGCCAAGATGGCGCCTGGCACAGGTCGGAGGGGAGGGACAAAGAGACCTATCATCAGTATAGGATTGGCTCTACCTGGTCCTTCCTCATTCTTGGCGCCCAGTAGGAGTGACCTTTCAACTAATAGGTTGACAACTCAGGAGGCACTTGCCAGTCATTGTTGGGACTTCCGGCCTTGAGATTTTGCCTTTAAATATCCGGGCTTGCTACAATAAAGTGTGTTCCTGCTCTGACTCGGCACCCGGCTCTCCATTTTCCTTTTGAGCCGCACACTCATCATCCCGCTCAGCCCCAGAGGGGAGCAGGCTCTCGGCTGGTCCCGAGGGCCCCCCATATGTCGCAGCCCAACATCTGATGACCCCAACGTGATTCTTCGCTGATCTTCTGCTGATTCTCCGCTGATGGGCCAATCGGTCTTTGGGTAAGTGACCCTCATAAGACATGGGGAAGGCCAATTCCAAGTTAGATTCTTCTCTTGCTGCATTAAGACAGCTACTTAAGAGCTGTGGCCTCAATCTCTCAGACTATCAAGCGATCCAGGCCTAGGACTGTATTAATGAGATAGCACCCTGGATTGCTGCTAGTAATCTCTTTGATTGGGAGACCTGGGAAAGGGTAGAGAGACTCGT